AAAAAAAAAAAAAAAAAAAAAAAAAAAAATTCCTTGGATTAAGAAAATGTGGTATAAATAAATACACAATTAAGTATTATTTGGCCACAGAAAAATGAAATACTGAAATCCTTGGCAAGGTGGATGAACTGGAACACATTATGTTAAGTGAAATAAGCCAGGCAGAGAAAGATGAGTACCACATATTCTCACTCCTGTACAGAAGCTAAAAGAAAGTTGATCCCTTAGAAGTAGAGAACAGGATGGTGGTTACTGGAGGCTGGGGAGGGGAGGAGGGACAGCTGGAGAGCTTGGTTAGAGGATACAAAGTTACAGCCAAACTGGAACAGTAAATTCCCATTCTTTAACACTGTGGGATGACTACAGTTAAGAATAATTATGTGGCTCAGCCTGTAATCCCAGCACTTTGGGAGGCAGAGTCCAGTGGATTGCCTCAGCCTGCAGGTTTGAGACCATCCCAGGCAACCTGGCGAGACTTCATCTCTACAATAAATAAAAAATTAGCCGGGTGTGGTAGCATGCGCCTGTAGTTCTGGCTACTTGGAAGGCTGAGGCGGAAGTTTCGCCAGAGCCCACCAGGTTGACGCTGGGGTGGCCATGAATGTGCCACTGCACTCCAGCCTGGGTGACAGAGTGTGACTACAACTCAAAAAAAAAAAGAATTATGTATTTTCAATTCGTATTTTCAGATAGCTACAAGAGGAGATTTTGAATGTTTCCCTCACAAAGAAATGATAAGTATTTGAGGTGATGGATATGCTAATTACCCTATACCCCACAAATGTGCTCAATTATAAAATAAATACAAACATTTCAAGAGCTATACTTTCTATGCAAAGTGAAGTCCAATGGGAGGCCCAAAACTTCACCTGTACCTAAACCACTTAAGTATCCAATCCTGACTTGTACTGTGCATTTCAGACTGGGTCCAGTAGTTCATGCCTGCAACCCCAGCACTTTGGGAGGCAGAGGCGAGAGGACTACCTGAACCCAGGGGTTTGAGAACAGCCTGGGCAACTTGGCGGGACCTTGTCTCTACAATAAATCAAAAAATTAGCCAGGATTGGTGGTGTGTGCCTGTAGTTCCAGCAACTTGAAAGGCTGAGGTGGGAGGATCGCCTGAGCCCAGCAGGTTGAGGCTGCAGTAGCTGTGATCATGCCAGTGCACTCCAGCCTGGAGATAGAGTGAGAATCCTACTCAAAAAAAAAAAATTGTGAGCATGTATGTACTCATAATTGTATTTACAAATCATATACAACATTATCTTCAGTCTGCATATTAAATATTAGTTAAGCTTGCTTTTACTTCCTTTTTAACTAAAAAATACATTCTATTACTTTTTTTAAACATACCAACACATTTATCCCTCTTTGGTGCTAAGATGATCATAATCAAAGTCAAAACTTTAATTATGGAAGAATCCGGGTATATTACCGTAGAGAAAAGCTCTGTTCTTTAGCGTGGACTCTCGTGTGTCACCCCACCCAGTGCACTCATAGGTGTTTGCCTGTAGCCATAGAAAATGCGCATGAGCTGCTGAGGCTTGCTACTAGATTTGCTGGAAGCAAAAAGTCCTCTGAAAGTAGGTCAGTGGGGTCATTTCTTACATTATTAAGAAGAGTTGCTATCGTGACATTACACGTATTGGTCCTACTTGTGTTTCAGGGCAAGATACTGGTTGGGACAAGGAATGCGGAGATCGTTGAAGTTGGAGAGAAGAACGCAGCATGTAATATTCTAGTTAATGGGCATTTGGATGGACCAATATGGGGACTAGCAACACATCCTTCCAGGGACTTTTTCCTTTCTGCTGCAGAAGATGGGACAGTGAGACTCTGGGACATTGCTGATAAAGTAGGTACAAACTGCTTTCAAAAAGATATTACTTTCTGAGAAGGAAAGTGGAAGCCCTGAGTTGCTAGTGCTTATAGAAAAGAATTCTCAGAATTATGTTGAGGATTTGGAGGGAAACTGTTCAATTTGTAAGTACTTAACTTCATGTGGTGTTCTGTTACTCTCTTGGTTCTCATGCAGAAGATGCTGAACAAAGTGAATCTGGGACACGCTACACGGACTGTGTGTTACAGCCCCGAAGGGGACATGGTGGCTATTGGGATGAAAAATGGAGAGTTCATTATTTTACTTGTGAGCTCTCTAAAAATATGGGGCAAGAAGAGAGACAGACGGTGTGCGATCCAGGACATCAGGTTAGTCATGTGGACCAGAGCTCCCAGTCAGTGCTCACACGCCCTGCCCACACTGGAATGTCCCTTCTTCCATGTCTCACCTTCATGAAGTATCCTCTTGCCACAGCATAAACGGATGCTGAAATACGGCTGTCTGCGTACTCACTTGATTCTTCTTAGTAAACTGTCAATCCACTGACTCCCAACCACCATGCCTTATGATAGCAAGTACCAGGTCATGTTTGATGAGCAGGGGTCACACTCAACGTGTCCAGTGAGTGCACGTCCAAGATTATCTCCCGCTGTGGTCCAAGAGAGCCATCTGGCCTTTGAACGTCATCATCTTGGGAAGCTAACATTGTGACCCAAAATGTATCTTCTCTTAATAATCTCAACTTGGGACCATAGAGATCATTTAATCAGTACTCATGAACATCTAGTATGTCCTAGAATCTGAAGTAAACCTGTCTTGAACCTTATTTTTTATTAAGCTTTTTTTTTTTTTTTTTTTTTTGAGAAAGCAAGATTTATTGAGAATATAGAAAAGCTCCCGCAGTGGGAGGGCACCCGAGGTTACCCTCACCGTGTAAGCTTATTCTAACAGCAGCTACCATTTACTGAGCACTTCTATGTGATCAGTGGATGAGATGATTGTATCCAGGCCTGTCAAAAGATTGTCCTCTTTTCACCAGTAAAATCCTTTTACAAATGAAACCTTCCTCAGAATTTCAACCTATAAAACAGTGATAGTAGCTTTCTTTAGCTCCATGTCCCTGCAGTACCGTAACAAGACTCGTCATCCCATATGACTCCTGTGACTGCTAGGCAAATAGTATTTCACCTTGTCTTTTAAGTAAGTTCTTCCAAGCTTCAAGTAGCACCACCTCATCTCAGTAACCAGAGGTGAGTTAAGCTGGTTGTTTTCTTTGCCCAATATAGACACCCTTTTTCAGATAGAAGAATCCTGTCTTAAAGAATCCTGTCTTAATGTTAACCAAGTAATTATGTAATGCTAACAGTTTTTAAAAACGAGCTATTTTTAAAGGAATTGAGAAATGACAATTGAGGGGATATTTAAGAGTGAAAATGTGAAGCTTTCTTAATTTCATGAAACATACAAATCACCTCAGTCTACATAATCAGTCATGTCAGATAAATTGGAAGCCATATCACACATGCTATCTTCAAGAGCTAGAAAGGAAATCATTAATCATACATCTCACGTGCTCTAACGCACTTTGACATTTTGTTTTGTATTCAGATTTAGTCCAGATTCCCGGTACCTGGCAGTGGGTTCTAGTGAGAACTCAGTGGATTTTTATGACCTAACGTTAGGTCCCACCCTCAACAGAATCAGCTACTGCAAAGACATTCCAAGCTTTGTCATCCAAATGGACTTCTCTGCAGATAGCAGATATCTCCAGGTACGGTGCCAACATGCACGCCCGGTTACAGAAGGGTTGTGCTTCAGGTGTGAGTGAGCACATCCAAAATTGTGAATTCCAGAGCTTTTCTGCTCTGCCCTGTGCCCGCCCCACCCATCAGTCCTCTTCTCCTCTAAGTTTCTGTAGTGATCTTTTGCCATCTTGTTCATGGTAGACATGTAAATCAAGTAGCAGCATGCTCACATTTAACAAACTCCTTGTGGATTTTCCTCCTCACCTCATGTAATTCTTGTCCCTTTTTGCCATGACAAAAGGTCTCCAGTGGCTGCTATAAACGGCATGTCTACGAAGTGCCTTCAGGAAAACACCTTTCGGACCATGCCACTATTGACAGAATCACTTGGGCCACGTGGACTAGGTAAATGATTTCCCCATTCAAAAGGCAAAGACTGACTGTGAAGGACAGTTAGAAAAACTGGAAAATCGCCTTTCTGAATCGCTAGAGCCATTCCTCTAAGGAACAGAAACTGTGTTTTTTTGGTCACCACAGCCTGAATTCTTAAGAGGACAATAATGGATGTCCATGCTGGAACATGTTCCCACACTTTATCTATTTCCATTTCTCAAGTCCTCTTAAAGAAAGGAATTTCAAGTTACGACTTTAAAGATGTGCTGATATTCTCAAGTTTAATAACAGACAATAAAAATATACTGGGTACTGCTAGGAAACTGTATTTGTTCTTCATCTAAAGGATTGCTACCCTGAAGCTGTTAGAAATGAAAGCGTATACGTTTGCTCAAATTTGGTGGCTGCATGACAGGTAACCAAGTGTCTATATTTTTGGCCAATGAAAAATGCCATAAAATTCCTATATAGGCCAGGCATAGTGCTCACACTTGTAATCCCAGTGATTCAGGAGGTGGGAAGATTGCTTGAGGAGTTTGAGACCAGCCTGGGGAACATAGAAAGAGCCCATCTCTTTAAAAAAAATTTAATTCTTTACTGTTTTTGAGTCAGAGTCTCACTCTGTCACCCAGGCTAGGATGCAGTGGCATGAACACAGCTCACTGCAGCCTTGACCTCCTGGGCTCAGGTGATCCTCTGCCTCAGCCTCCTAAGTAGCTAGGACTACTGGCCCGTGCCACTGCACCTGGCTAATTTTTCTAGAGTGCTCATTGAATTTTAAAAGTTTTAATCTATAAACCTTTCAAATTACACAATTCTATTTTTAAAAGGTCCAGAGTTAACATCCAGATGAAACCTCCAACAACTTGCCTTGCCATAACTTCCTTTTAAATAACCTGACAGGCACTTGATAAATTGCTGATAATCATTTTGAACCTGGTAAAGCCGCCCACACTCGGGACAGTGAACCCTCTCTTCTCTAGTATTTTAGGCGATGAAGTGATGGGAATCTGGTCTCGACACGCTGAGAAAGCTGATGTCACCTGTGCCTGTGTGTCTCACTCAGGAATCAGCCTCGTCACGGGAGATGACTTTGGCATGGTTAAGTTATTTGACTTCCCATGTCCTGAAAGATTTGTGAGTTTGTGTTTTGTTTAGTATGCCATTTTACTGCAAAATTTGATGTCTCAGGACTTTTCCCCATATAATTTAATGTTTAAATGTTTTATCCTAATTAAAACTACTTTAACATATGTATTTCTTTTCTAAATCCATTACCCTGAAATAAAAGCTTATCAGAAACAAATCCCCTTCCTCCAGTAATATCACCTTTGGAAACTATCCTACTGAAGATGTGGTTAGCTTTTACCAAATGTGTAATGTGTTATCAATTTCATATACTTTTCCTTAGAGAAAAATTCCCCAAGTGTGTGGAGACATGACCGCCCAGGCAGGCGGTGTGAGGCGTAGACCCACTACCAACTCTGAAAAGTGCCCCAGTCACTGGCCACGGTCCTAACTGCCCACCCTCTGCACAGTTCTTGTGATGGAGAGTGGATTTCCTAATAAGATCTTGACTTGTGTGAGCATCAAATGCCCTGAGCTTTGTCATTGTTTTTCAGGCAAAGCACAAAAGGTTTTTGGGCCACTCATCCCATGTGACAAATATCCGCTTTACCAGTGGTGATCGCCATGTTGTCAGTGCTGGAGGTGATGACTGCAGGTGAGTGGCATTCTTGGCCCAGGAGGAGCACACCATCTTTTACTAGTTAAGACATTGAATCTAGCAATGCCTCCTGCTGTGGTTTACAAACTCAGCTAGTCAATGACAGCAGAAGGCAGCATAACCAGATAGCTTCCCGGAGTCTCATACTTAGGCAGATATAGAATAAAGGGAGTTCCTGTGCCTTTGGGAGGCGCCTTTGAGTGGATTGCCTGAGCCCGCGGGTTCGAGACCCGCCTGGGCAACTTGGCAAGACCTCATCTCTACAACAAATCAAAAAATTAGCCGGGCAGGGGAGCACGCGCCTGTAGTTCCAGCTACTTGGAAGGCTGAGGAGGAAGGATCACCAGAACGCAGCAGGTCGAGGCTGCGGTGGCCGGGAGCAGTCACTGCACTCCAGACTGGGCGACAGAGTGAGACTCCAACTCAAAAAAAAAAAAAAGAACAAAGGGAGTTTATCACGGAAAATTTTACACATGTATGATTTGAAAGCTCAAATGAAAAACAAACTCTTGAAAAATCTAAAAATGTAATGAACTCTCCCTGCAAATGTTTTCTGATTGCAGTTTATTTGTTTGGAAATGTGTACATATGCCTCACTGAGAGATGATGCTGAGAACACACCTGAGTCACAGAGGAGAGAAACCAAAACCAAATTCTGCATGGTCAAGTGGTGCTAACCTAAGACTGTAACAGGGAGAGATGCCCAGAATCATCACTGGAGTAGAAGACTGCTCAATTCCAAATGTTGGCCATATGCACTGGACACACCCTCAACCCATAGACACTGCCAGAGAATTCAATGAAGGATTGAGTGCCTGATGGAGAAAGCCGGTTCCCTCCTGTTGAGGGGTGTTTCCTTCTACTGGGCAGTGCTCCCTGCTACTGGGGGTGTGCAGTTTTGGCAGAACTGCTGGGGAGACTTAGGGTACAGAATTCTTTTAAAAAACCCAAAACATAAAAACCCAACTTGGGTAATTTTCATTTTTTAAACAAAACTGTTTCTCTTTAGCATTTATATTTTATTTTAAAGGTTCACTGTCTAGTGAAATAGTTCATCATCCTGTGTTTCCATAAGGAAAGGAACCATTGTCACCCTAAAGGATCAGTTTTTAAGAAGCAAATATTTTCCCTATGGAAACAGACACAAACGTTCCTGGATAATATGATGTTTCTTAAGCATGAATAAAGTCCTTTTTTATAAAGGACATTTCTAGCAGATTGAATTCAGGAACAGATCGAGTCAGTACATGGCTGGGACATTTTCATTTTTGAGCTGTCAATCTTATGTTCAGAAGCCATTTCCAACTGAAAATGTAAAACCTGCAGCCTCATCTATGGGAAGGTAGGATGATGGACAGTGACTTTCAATGGTGTTGTTTTAGACAGCAAGAGTATTTAACTGGAGGACAACACTGCATACATAAAGATGTAGTCTAACATATAAACATTTAACATGTAAACAAAAGTTAAATTCGCATTTACAACACTTTACAACATAATCATCTTGGAATAAAATTTTTATAGTTTTTCTATTGGGAAAACTCGTGTGCCACTCCATATGCAAATTTCCAAAATGAACGCAGTCATTTGTAAAACTCGTCCACTAGAATTCCTTCTTAGGAGATTAGGGCTGAATTCCTAGATTCTTCTTTTCACTTTAAATGCTGCCAAAGATCAGTACTCACCATTCAGGAGCTTGCTGTTTAGCTGATCTGTAGTTTCCTGAAGATGGAAAATTATATAGACTGCTATTTAAAAACATATTTTTCTAGACGTGAAGAAGTTTGAGATGCTCTATAGGTCCTATGAAGTTTTATTTTAACGTGTTTTCTTCATAATATATCCCTTCAGATTTCCGGATTCCCCAGTTTGGTTTGACAAGACACGGAGATTCCCAGTATCTATTTTCTGTCCAATACTTTGTGAATACTAAAGCCAGAATGACTAAATTACATCACAGAAAGCCTATCCAGTGACTGAACTGGCAAATTTTAAGGCTCTGAGTAGCTATGTCTGAAAAACCAATTAAGGAGTTAAGAAGCTTGAAACATAAGATGGTACCCTTTCATTATTCACATCAATGGATTCTCTTAAACTAAGTCAAATTTTGGAATACTTTACTATGAAATTTATTCATGTATGTTATAAAGAGGCAGCCAATAGGCTGGGTGTGGTGACCCACGCCTGTAATTCCAGCACTTTGGGAGGCTGAGGCAGGATTGCTTGTGGTCAGGAGTTTCAGACCAGCCTGGGAAACATAGTAAGACCTCAACTCCACAAAAAAGTCAAAAACTTAGCCGGGCATGGTAGCACACAACTGTGCTACAGTCCCAACTACTTGCGAGGCTGAGGTGGAAGGATCGTCTGAGCCCAGAAGGTTGAGGCTGTGATGAGGTGTGATCGTGCCACTGCACTCCAGCCTGGGCGACAGTGCGAGACCCTGACTCACCAAAAAAAAAACAACAATAAAAAGGAAGAGGCAATAAGTTAAAGGAGAAACTTACTGGACCAGGCTCCTCCAAAAAGAAAAATACTCCACATTTGAGCCTATTGCAGTTTCCCCTCTGGGTCAATCTTGCCAGCTTTTGGCTACACAGAAATGCCATTTCCATGACAATGCATGTAGACGCTCCAACCTTGAGCAAGCAAACCTCACAGGCCAAAACTGCTGCATTCGTGTCCTTCAGAGTGGCCAGCTTAGCAAGTTAGCTGTAAGCACTGCTATCACCCTCTCTCAGCTAAAGGTCAGCTGATCTCAGGCAGCTAGCCACGACCCACTGTGCTGGCTGTCCCTAAGGAGAGGTAAAGAAACATGACAGGCCACAGAGAATCTGCCCTGTTTTTTTTTTTAAAGCCACAGAACTGTGTGCAGGATCTGACAAAGCTGCCTTTGCAGCCTCAGCTCTGGCCCTCAGGTCCAGCCCACTCTCTACCATACTGGAGCACACAGCCCCTTGGGCACCGCTGGATGCGCACTCATCCCCTTCCTCTCTCGTGATCCTTTTGTGTGGTGGTCACTTCAGACCCAAGTTATCCAACAAATCAGTGTTTTAGGGTCAACCTTAGCTTACCCATAAACCACGGTAACTGAAAGGTTAAAAACTTTTTTAAGTGTGTTTCCGGGCAGTGTCTATTAAACCGCAAAAAACAATCAGACTTTAACATTCATTTTATTTCCATGTAAAATAGCTGAACTAAATTAAGCCCTTGTTTCCCATTTACGTTCTTTATACTGAAACTATGAGAACGCAATTATATATCATTTATGATAGCCACAGTCTTATTTTCAGAAATTTAAGTGATTTTAAGCAATCTTCTTCTGCAAAGATGTATCTCAATTAAGTAACATTGGAATGAACAACAAATGCCTTAAATTCAGTGGGTAGATTCAGGAGGAGGTGGAGCTGTCATTTCACCCACGCCGGACAACGGCCACGTGCACCTGTGTGCCTGTCTCTGCGGCTGCTCGTGTTTCAAGTCTTGTCTTTGGGCTCAGCACGGCAAAGCGCAGCTTACCAAGTGGTTTAATGACTGGTTCTTTCTTCTCCCAATGGAAGAGCAGTAGCAACAAAACAGACCGCTGGCTCTGCGATCTGAAACATGGACTTGTGTGACACGGGCTTATCACCACCTGGGCATGTGACTGAGCAGTCGGCAGGTTCTGTCTGCAGGGAGTTTAATTTGGTCCTGAGGATGTTTCAGTCTTTAGTATCCCTTCTGCATTAACCCACTCTTTTCTAACCACCTTTTAAGCTTTAATTTTTAAAATGCTATGATAACACCAAGTCTCTGAAGTCAGTGATCCATTTGTTGGTTAACTCTACAGCATCTGACACTTCTTGCCTTAACAATTTTAAAAATCACACACAAAACTCTGTAATTAATACACTAGGCCCAAAGTTTCATTCTATTTTGCGGTTTACTCATCTGATCTCTGTAATTATAATTCTGTCATTTAAAATATACTATTTAAATCTAATTTTCACATTTCAAAAATTATCTTCAGTAGTAACTAAGTATATTTTCTGTGGAGCTATTTCTGAGAATGTTATTTTTCAGAATGTGAGAATATATATGTATATTTATAATCTTGTGAGTTTAAAGTCTGTTTTCTGATACCTTATGTATATACTTGTAAAAAAAATTTGTACAACTTTGTGATAATGTAGCTCCTCCAGTTTATTTAGAAAGCCTGTTTCTCGTGACTGAGAGCACTGTTGGGAACTGCCCTTTTCTGCACTTGCCATCTAGCTGTGCCCCCTCCACAACCACTTTGCTCCTGTCACAGAAGGCAAGGACACTGGAATGTCACCAAGTGGCTCTCAGCCTTTGCAGCCTGTTATCATGCTTTTCAAACGATATTCGTTTATAAAAATTAAAAAGCAGACAAACGACTGGTGAGCCGCCTCAGTCCTTCTAGCCACTCCTGTTTCATGGTGGATTGTGACCATTCTACAATCTCAGAGAGCAGCAGTTCAACTCCAGAGTGACAGCTGCCTCCCGGCACCCTCCAGACACAGCCACCACGTAGCCCTGAGCAGTGCTCCCATGGCTACCATGACATGGCGTGAGAAATGCTGACCCTTAACAACTGCTGGGTACAGATGTGCCTCCCAGGTTTTAACAGAATCTTGCTTTTCTTTAAACTATCTTTTTATAGCAAAAACAAAACAACAAAAACACCCAATGTTAAAACCGCAGTAAACTTACAAACTTGAAAAAATTAGACACTTCAGGGAGGCAATAAACTTCATATGAAAGCAATATATTCCAAGTTTCAAAGATCTGACAAGTTCTAGAGAGTATCTTTCATCAGTAGATGGAAACTTTCAAGCTGCATGATCTTCTGCCACGTAGGTCTGAGTGTCATTCACTGAATAAACAGAACCAAAATGTTTTTAAATTTGCATTTATATATACCATATACCTCAGCAAAGTTGAGTAGTTTTAGATAATGAGCCATATTTTTAAAAATAATTCAATTATATAAGATAGATAAAAGACAGTATCACGTGTAACTGTTTATAGGCCAAATTTAAATATTTAGAAACTTCAATGTTTTATTATTGCTAATAGCTAATAAAAACTGATTTGAGACCAGGCATAGTAGCTAACACCTGTAACGCCAGCACTTTGGAAGGCTAAGACTGGAAGATCGCTTGAAGCCAGGAGTTCAAGACCCAGCCTGGACAACATAGTGAGACCCCCATCTCCACAAAAATAAAAATTAAAAAATTAGCCAGGCTTAGTGGTATGCACCTGTAGTCCCACCTACTCAAGAGGCTGAGATGAAGGATCACCTAAGCCCAGAAGGTCGGGGCGGGGGTAGGGAGGAGATTTACAACTCATAAGCAGTGTATATATAAATTCCTTAGAATATGTTTGCATAATAGTATATGACCAGAAGTTAAAAGAAAAACTGATCTGGAGAGTAAGTAAAAACAAACAAAAAAACACTGAATAAAACAAAATTTAATCCACGTAATACATTATTTTGCCAAAGCACCCTTATATAATTTTTTTTAAAAAGGAGTGACGGTCTAATTTCCCCTAAATTTGTATGCTTATGAAGAAGCCATATATTAGAAAGGAATTTAAAATGACATCAGAAAAACTAATTGTGACATTTACCTGGTTTGAGGTCGGATCCATTTCAAGGCATGTCGTGGTGGTACAGTAATGGCAGGATGGTAGAAGGTACAGTCAGGCCTTGTACACTGAGTGTTGAACCTACAGTGCTGGAGAGGGGAGACGATGACACGAGGCAACACAACAGCCCGCCCGCCTGCCCTGCCTGCCCACAGACAGGTGAGAGCCCTGGTCTCTACTGCCCACTTCACAACCAAAGCTTCGAACAGCGGGGCCTCCCATGGACACAAAGCCCTAGGAAGAATCACAGCGAGGGAGATTTCCACAGGAGCGGGATATGCAGGACAGACTTCTCAGTGAGGCAGCAACAGCTCCTGTACCTCCACTAGGGCCCTCCCCTCTCCCAGCTGTAGGTGGCAAAGGCCTATCAAGGGCCTGCAGTGCCAGTGCCAAAGAGATCACACCCTTGGGCAGCACGTCCGCCGTGCTTCACGCTCTGTCCATGCTGTCGGTGTAGGCCTGGAGAGTTGAGGCAGGGACTGCTGGGTCTCACCACATAAGTTCTGGCTTGAGATTGGAAAGCAAACCCACCCATGGCTGGGGCAGAGAAGCAAAGATGCCCCTCTGTCCCAAGACCATAGGACACTGACATGAAGGCTTCAGACTACTCAGCCTTGGGGCCCAGATGGAGGCTCAGTGACAGCGAAGGAACTTAAAGGTTTGCAGGACCAGGAAATTCACGCTAACAAAAAAAAGTTAAACTGGGAAGGGAAAAAAAAAGCAAGGCATTCCATGGCTAGTGCTCTTCTGGATCTCAGAACTGAGGGGTTACCACTCAATTGCTTTGGGGGAAACTAAAGGTTCTTACTTTTGGATGATAAAAGGGACACTCCATTTTCTTACAAGCCGGGAAGTAACGGCAGAGCTGACTGCTTGAAGGAGATGCTGGTGTTGTCACTGCTACAAGGGAAGAACCAAGGGTGAGCCAATCTGTGTGGCAAAAGTTTCTAACGCAGCCTACGGATGTTTTTCTGGAAGCGAGAACCACTTCTAAATTAGAATGAAAGCTTTATATATTCATGCTCAAGAGAAGACCCTCCAGAATACCACAGAAGAAGCACTCACTCCTAAAAGGCAGTTAGATGAGTCAATCCTGCCGTAAGTGTTTTGGGGCGGGTTCTTTTGTGTTGATTCACTTCCGTCTAGTCGCAAGCACCCCCTTGTCCCCACCCCATGCGGCCATGCTCAGTTACCAACCTGGCTTCGGAAGCAGCACTGGAATCCTCCTGCTCAGGTGAGTGAAAGGACAGTCCGGCTTCGTACATTTGGCATCATATTTACAATTTGGATGAATAAACAAACATTTTTCAGCAAATTTACAGTTGGGAAAGGCTCTACAAAACAAAGCACATCACCCACACGTCACATTCCCGATGATGGTCAGTTTTCTGTGTACACCCCCTTTACCACAGAAGAAAGTAAGAAACCGCCCTCTCTCCACTTTCAACTGAGGCCAGACACCAACCAGGACATAGCTGTCTACTCCAAGTCTGGGTAACCCACAGGTCTTCAACTCAAGCCAAGCCACTGCAGAAGGCAGGAGCTTCTGTTGAGGTAAGTAAGCATCAACTCCCAGTTGGTAAGGCCTGTGTTCCATGAAGTGAATCGTGAGGTGGGTGCAGTAAATGAGCACATCCTCTATGCCCACAGGCACTGTGCTAATGACATGCCCTGTCTCCTTACGGGCACAGTCAATCATGGCTACAGCAACATTCCCTTCAAGTAACAGCCCATCCACAGGACGAAACATCATTCTCAGATCCATCTCACAAAGCCTGTGACATTAAACTGGCCAGCTGGGAAGGAGAAATTTAACCACGTCCCAGATCGTTTCTCATGACTCACGACTTTTTTCCAACTCAATACCTGCACATGTGTGTGAACAGAACATTCACACTGGGTAGCGCACTGACACCCACACATGTCCACAGGAAAGCTCGAGAGGGCGTCAGACACAGCCACCAGGCTGAGGCCACACGTGACTCACTTGCAGGGTGCCGCAGGGTGGTGGTAGGCACACTCACTGCCGTTCCTGCAGGCTGGCCAGTACTTGCAGCGCTCGGGGAGCAGCTCCGGCTTCGGGGCCCCACTTGGGTCGCTCATCTCTGCTGCAGAGGGAGGGACAAAAAGGACCTCGTTAATCAGGCCCCATCTGATTCAGCAAAGTCCCTTCCAACCCTGTCTTAAAAGCTGCCAAGCTCAGTCACATAAAATAAGGGAGCCCAAATCATCTGACCACACGCTGACAGAGTCCTGTAAGCTCACAGGGGAGACGCAGTTCCCACCATAAAAGGAAGGGGACAGTGACTGCAACAAGGGCCAAAGGTTTCACCAGGAGAATTCTCCATGTGATTTCAGAGCTGTTAAATGTAACGGGGAAGGACGGACAGTAGGAGCCAATCAAACTCCAGGAAAGCCAAAGCCGAACCCAGTGCAGAGCACATGACCTCGTGCTCACATCCAGCAAGACAGGAGAGGCCCAATGCAGGTGGGACCCACGCCCTTGGCCACATTCTGCTCTCTAGTTCCAGGCACTAAGGAAACCCACAGCTGGCTTAGGTGGGTTGCCAAAGCCATCACCCACTGGGTTGGTTCCCATCACAGGGTAAAACGGCAGGCACAGGATGTGAATGCAGGAAGGGCTGGGGCGACGGCACCTGGAGAGCGACAGGGGCCCCATCTGCACCACACACGTGTCACATCCAGTTCCAACACCAATCAAGATGACGTGGGGAAGGGGGACCCGCACTGCCAGGGTTTCTCCTGCTTCAGTAAGCCAAGCATCTCCCTTGTCAGAGGACATCAGAACTGTCAACAATAAAACAAATCAGATCACACTCAGATCAGAAACGGGCCATAATCAGCACCCATTTCTGGCCTAAGACACCCTGGCCACAACCCCAGCATCATGGGTGTTCGCATCACGGGAGCACCTCCACTGGATCCCCTAGGCCTCCTGCCCAAGGCTGGGCAGCTCAGATCTGGCTCTGCAGTTATGCACTGTGCAAGTATCACCTGGCATCTCTTAACTTCAGTGTCCTCATCTACACAAACAAAAAAGAGTGTCTTCTCAGGGTCTGATTCGGCTCACAGGAGCATGAGGCATATAAGCCCAGTCACCCAGTCTGCTCTGGTCACAACCACCACCACACGTAACTAGGACATGCCTAACAAGCATTTTCTATGTGACCTTAAAAATAGTAGTCATGTATTTTAGCTCTAAGATATAAAAGTACTCTTAGTTCCAAAGAAACTAACAGAACTGAAGGGGGAGTCTCTCTGCCTGTTCAGTGGTTTTCATGTCACCTGCAAAGCAAGTGTGTCTCCTTGCTTCCTAAATAACACAAGAGGCCCTGACACACACGAGAGCCAGGACACCTGGGCTTAGAGTCCCCAGAGGAGCCTGTCAAGAAGGATGGACTGAGACTTCACAAGGACATGGCATTTTTCTGACAGAAGCACTCACGCACACACACATCATGTCTCCAGTCTGCCCTGACTGACATCTGCTTCATAAACTGTTAAGGCTTATCCTGTTTGTGTCTCAAGAGGCAAGTTCACCTTTATGGGAAACTGTAAAATCTGTGCTGCCATATCACGAGGGCCAGCGGGGGCAGCAGATGGAATACAGATGCTGCAGCTGGCACAACCCTGAATCCCGCCCACCAAAGAACCAGCCGGAAGCACTTTCAAAGGCTCAAACCCTACGGGGAGGGGAAGAGGTGTGGAGGCCAGAGGTTCTGGGTCTGTCGTCTCTCAGCCACACTCATATGCTGATACCCCGATGGGAAAGGAGGCATGCCGCTGTCACGGCCACTGTCAAGGCCACCTATAATGATCACTGCTGTGTGAGTCGAGGTGAGAATTCTCACCCACTTGTGTCTGGCAGTGTCACTGCCACTTCACATGTACCCTCAAAGCGTAACACAGACCTCTACATTTAAATGATATTAGAGCCAAAGCTACCTGAAAACCAGGAGGAAGAACACCAGAATTTTATTTTAGAGGGTCAAGAAATCTGCACTGCTTGATATCTGCAGTTCTTCCCTGGTTACTGTTTTTTTTTTTTTGAGTTGGAGTCTCACTCGGTCGCCCAGACTGGAGTGCAGCGGCCGCT